TTATGCCCAAGCTCCTCCAATAGCATATTCAACCAAATTGCTTCTTTACTGGCTTGTGTAGCTGCTATATATTCTGCTTCTGTTGTGGATGTAGCCACAACTGACTGCAATTTTGAAACCCAACTTACAGCTCCACCAGTAACTTTAAACACATATCCTGTAGTAGATTTGCTTTTATCCAAATCCCCTGCATAGTCAGAATCAACATACCCATTGATAAGTAAGTTTGATCCTCTGTAACATAATGCAACATTTGAGGTCCCTTTGATGTATCTCAGGATCCTCTTTACTATATTCCAATCCTCTTTGCCTGGATTCGCAATGTACCGATTAACCACTCCCACTGCTTGTACAATGTATGGTCTTGTGCATATCATAGCGAACATTAAACTTCCCACTGCCGATGCATACGACACTCGAGAGATATCCATCCTCTCTTCTTCACTGCTAGGACTCATACTGGAAGATAATTTGAAGTTAATAGGAAGAGGGGTAGAAATTGGCTTACAATCTTGCATGTTGAATCGTGACAAGATCTTCTTCAAGTAATTCTTTTGTGAAAGCCAAATCTTCATATTACTTCTGTCTCGGTGAATTTGCATCCCTAGAATCTTGTTTGTTGATCCCAAGTCCTTTATTTCAAATTCCCTAGCCAGTTGTGCCTTCAATTCTTCAATATGATCTTTGTTGGGTCCTGCAACCAACATGTCATCCACATACAACAACAATATAACAAAATCGTTATCACCAAACCTCTTGAAATAAGCACAAGGGTCAGCATTAAGTCTGCTGTATCTAAGGCACATAATGAAGGAATCAAATCTCTTATACCAACACCTCGTCGCCTGCTTTAGACCGTACAGAGATTTGTTCAACCTGCAAACCAAGTTTTTCTTTTCTTTTTCTTCAAAACCTTCAGGCTGGAGCATATAAATTTCTTCTTCAAGATTTCCATGAAGAAAAGCTGTTTTAACATCTAGCTGCTCTAGATGTAAGTCCAATGTAGCACACATTGTCAAAACTACTCGAACTGTTGTTAGTCGAACCACAGAGAAAATATTTCATTAAAATCAATACCTTCTTTTTTAGCATATCCTTTGACCACCACTCTTGCACGATACCTCTCAACTTGATCGTCACCATTTCGCTTGATTTTGAAGACCCATTTTGTTACCAACTGGCTTCCTTCCTTGTGGTAGTGGCACAAGGTCCCATGTATTATTTTTATGAAGGGCTTCGATTTCTTTTTGCATCGCCATCATCCATAGTGAAGCATCTAAGTTGTTTATTGCCTCCTGGTATGTTGATGGCTCACATTCCTCTGTTAAAAGGCAGTATGCAATATTTTCTTCTATAACATAATCTGAGTACCAATTGGGACGTCTTCTCACATGATCTGATTGACGAGTTGTTGGAGCTTCAGAACTCTCTGGTTCTTATTCATCATGTGATGGTTCTGCTTCAGAAGAATCTTCTTGTTCAACATCCTTTTCCACATGTATGTGTGTAGTCTCTAACTTTTCAGCGCTATCATCGTCTTCTTTTCTTTGTAGTTTATCCTCTACAAAGATAACATCCCTGCTAATGATCACTTTGCGGGCAGTGGGATCCCATAAGCGATAACCCTTTACACCATCAGCATACCCCAAGAATTTGCATTTCCTGGATTTTGGATCCAACTTTGAAATTTCTTGGGAGTTGTACATCACGTATACAATACTTACAAATATATGGAGGTTTGAATAATCAGCTGGTTTACCAGTCCACGTCTCCATTGGTGTCTTCAGCTCTATTGCAGTTGATGGAGCTCGATTCACCAAATAACAAGCGGTATTGACTGTTTCTACCCAGAATGATTTTTCTAGGCATGCATCCCTCAACATTGCTCTTGTTCTTTCTAACAAGGTTCTGTTCATCCGCTCTGTCACTCCATTTTGTTGATGAGTGTTCGCCATTGTGAACTGTCTTTTGATGCCTTTTTTCCTGCAAAAGTCATCAAATCCTTCGCTTGTGTATTCTCCTCCATTATCTGTTCTGAAACACTTGATCTTATTTCAAGAATCAAGTTTCACCCGCACTTTGAAGTTTTTGAAAGCTGAAAACACGTCTGACTTCTTCTTAATAGGGTAAACCCAACATCTCCTGGAGTAGTCATCAATAAATGAGACAAAATATTTTGCTCCGCCTAGGGATGTAACTGGTGCTTGCCATACGTCAGAATGAACCAATTCTAGAACATTTTTTCCTCTAGAATTTGACGTGTTGAATTTCAATCGGTGCTGCTTACTTGTTATGCAGTGCTCACACAAAGTAAGTGATACCTTTGTTAAGCCTGGAAGTAGTTTTTGCTCCATAAGGACTTTCATTCCTTGTTCTAACATGTGTCCAAGTTTCTAATGTCATAACATTGCAGAATCTGAACTACATGAGGCAACAGAGGCTTCTGCTTCTAGCAAATCTCTCCATTCACATGTACAAGTTTGATGCTATCTTTTCTCCTTTCAGCACCACAAGCGCTCCACGGAACACCTTCATGATTCCTTTCCGTGTTTCAATCTTGCTTGCATTATTATCCAACAATCCGTAGGATAATAAATTTTTCTTCAGGCCTTTCACATGCCGCACATCTCGAACAACTTTGATTGTTCCATCATACATCTTCAATTTGATGGTTCCCACGCCAACGATCTCTAAGGCATGATCATTGCAACTATACACAGATCCTCCTAAGACAGGTTCATAACGATGGAACCATTCTCTTCTTGAGGTCATGTGATATGTTGCTCCTGAATCAATGAGCCATATATCTACAAATTTTTTCTGCCTTCCACGGTGGTTGATGCTTCACAACATAGAGCATCTCCATCATCTGAAGTGTTTGCAGTATTACCTTGTGGATTGGAGTTTTTATTTAGACTCCAACAATCCTTCTTCAAGTGACCCTTTTTTCCACAGTAATAGCACTTTAAATTCTTCTTGCTCCTCGACTTTGATCTACCATGTTTGTGACTGCTGCTTTGGCCACGTTCTGTTGATCTCCCTCTCGTCGTTGTCAAAGCTTTTGCCTGTTGCAGATTCACTTGTCTTTCTTCCTTGTTCTTGCGCTGATTTTCTTCTTGTAGAACAGCATCTGCAACGTCATCGAAGACTAGATTGGTGACATTACTATTTGTCAAGTTGATGATGAGTTGATCATACGAATCCGTTAAACTTTGAAGTAGAAGTTCAGCACGTTCTTGTTCTCATATTTTACAGCTTAAGGATGTAAGCTGAGAAAATAAAGTGTTCAGTGTATTTAAGTGCTCCGTCACTGAAGTAGATTCTGGTAAATGGAGAGTGTATAATTTTCTCTTAAGGAAAATTTTATTGTGCAGCGATGTGGCCTCATACAATTTGGTGAGATGATCCCATATCTCTTTAGTTGTTTTCTTCTCCTCGATGCTTGACAATACTTCATCTGCTAATGCTAGATGAAAGTTTGTCATAGCATTTCCGTCCATTTCGATCCATTTATTTTCATCTGTGAAATCTAACGACCTTTCACTGATAGCTACTAGACAACCGTCTTTCCTCAGGATGGCCTTCATCTTCAATTTCCACAATGAGAAATTTCTCCCATTGAATTTTTCAATATCAAATTTCGTTGTCAAAGCTTCTTTTACGGATAACTCCCACTATTTCACTATCGTGAATAGTTCTCTGGAACCTTCAAAGAATGAGTAATACCTTCTTACTTTCTTATGTTGGAGGATCCACCTTTTGGTGGCAACCACAAAGATAATAAGAAGATATTACACACTCTAATCTGGCTCGGATACCAATTGTTGCGGAAGACGACTATCGGATAGAGCAAAATCGCAACTAATAATTTGAGAAAATAAAAATGAAGATAAAAGAGACAAAAAATTTACGTGGAAAACCCCTAAATAATATAAGGTAAAAACCACGGGCAACGTAGAAGAATCTCACTATGAGAAAATAAGAATTACAACTTCTCTCAATCTACCAAGGAGAAAACAATGATAATCCTCTCTCGATAAAAAAGGAGAAAACAACTCTCAAGAAACTCTCTAAATTCTCTCTAGTATTGGAAGAAAGCTAGAATGCTCTGGGATGGTTTTAAGCTAAATGAGTTAGGATATTTATAGTTAAAGCTTAAGGGCTAATTTGTAAATACCTAAATTACAATGACTAAAATTGAGATTTTACCATTGTCTAAATTCAACTAAAAATCAAACAAACTTTCGGTGCATTAATAATGTTTGACTATTCATGCCAACTTGTTTGGCACTTTCGATGCATGCATTTTCAACATTGGGTCCCCAATTAGTCCCCAGATGAGTTGTATTTGGCCTGCATTGATCCGAGGGGGCTGGTTTGGGTTTCCGATCTGATTGACCATGACCAGAGGGTATGGCAAATTGATGTAATTTCCGATCGCTTTCCTTCACAAATTGCCCATGCTATCATGTCGATTCCTTCCCTATGGTGACCCGACCAGACAAGTTGGTTTGGCGGCTTGAAAGTCGTGGCAGGTTTATGGTCCGAAGTGCCTACAATTTATTGATTAACCTCGATCACCATCGTGACTCTACTGACTCGCGTGACTGCTTTTTATCACATGCTTTGGTCACAGAAGCTACCAGAGAAGATACGAATCTTTATGTGGGGAGCTTTTCGAAACCTTTACCAGAAGCTTGTCATTATGAATCCAGGTTGATTTCGCTGTGGTAGGGCTCCAGAATCTATTTTGCATGCTCTCTGTCAATGTCCATGTTTGCAAGGGTTTGGGAGCTCTTCGGGTGGGGTTTTCCATCTAATTTTCAGGATTGGGTGTTGACTTTGCTATCCAATTTTCAGCAACAGATTTCCAACAGATCATGTTGTTGTTGTGGGCGTTGTGAGGAGCTCGAAACTGCCACCTTGATGAGAGGGTTATTAACTCTGATGTGGAAATTCATGATTTTGTTCTCAAGTAACACTCAAACCTTTCTTCGGTCATGTTGGCACCAGATTTGGTTACAAATCCTTTTCCTCGTGTCTGGGCTCCACCACAATCTGAGATGGTCAAGGTGAATTTTGATGGCTCCTATGTTCATGAACTAGGTCGTGGTGGTATTGGTTGTGTTATTCGGAATTCCCGAGGTCAGTTTCTCGCAGCTTGTTCACATCCTGTTCAGTATGCTTTTCATGTTGAGACTCTGGCTTGTCTGGTTGGGCTGCAGTTGGCCTCGAATCAAGGCTATCGGCAAGTTATTCTGGAAGGTGATTCTTAATCCATCATCTTTCGGCCTACTTCGCTGTCTGTCGACTTCGCTTATGATGGTCCCCTTTTCGACCAGTTAAGGAGCTTGCACAGTCATTTCACCATTGCTCATTTCAACATGTAGTTCGTTCGGGTAACACAGTTGCGGATGCGTTAGCACACGACGGCTTGTATGCTACATCTCATGTTCGTTGGTTCGGGACTCCACCTCTTTTCCTTGTCTCTTCTCTTGCTGCAGACAATGATCTGTGATTTCGTTTGTTTGTCTAGGGAGTTTGTTTTAAGCTTTTGAATTCGTGCATGTATTCTATTGTTTGCATGGAATGAAATTCACGTTTTACTAAAAAAATTATCAATATATTTATAAATAAATTATTATTATTAGAATGTTCAAAATATTTTTTTTATTTTTAAAAGTAAATTTAAAATTTGAAGTTTACATATATTTAATTATGAATGGATATAAGAACTTAAAAACAATCATAATCTTGAATTAATTTCTATAATTAAAAATAATTTTAATGCATAAGAAACAAAAATTTTATAAAAGAAAATAAAACATACAAGCATAACGCAAATAAACAAATTATTAAAATCTATTTTTTATATCAGAAGGAATAGTACGTTGCTCTCCTTAAAATCGTAATCATCATCATATTAAATATATTTATAAATAAAAATAGACTAACTATCAATAAAGTCGTTGTAGTATAGTGGTAAGTAATCCCGCCTGTCACGCGGGTGACCCGGGTTCGATCCCCGGCAACGGCGAACGTAATTTTTTCCTCCTTTTCTCTCTAAAGGAAAAACCCCAAAAAAAATAAAACAATGGCGTCGCCCGGACTCGAAGTCGAGACCTTCGGTCTGTTAGTCTGACTTGATAACCAACTTGATCATGACACCCTATACGTCATCGTTTCAAAATAAAATATAATTAAAAGCATTAATAGTTTGCTCTTTATCACCGGTATAAGTTTGCACTGTAATTAACAGCAGAACCGAGACCCCATTCATGTAACAATGACAAAATTAACAACAGTCCACACACACCTCGTTAGCTTCGCCCACTCTCTTAATTCAACACACTCCGGATTTCCCAAAGCAAAGGCAAACAACATTTCAAAACCCATATTAAAACCTTTCTTTTTCTCCGCTCTTTCAGCTTTGTTTAAAGGCTTCATTTTCTAGCTACTCTCTTCTCGTTCTTATTCTCTCCTCGCTGTTTGCGGATTCCACCGAGCTCCGATCCCGATGGCTGCTGTTTCCGGATCCAATGTTGTTTCTCTGAAATCCGCCGCGAGGTTTGCTGATTCCAGTGACCGTAAGTTTGTTCAGATTAGGCAATGGTGCCCGATTTCCGGCGTTTCGGATCGGTTCAGGCTCGACCGAGCGTCGGACTCCAGTGCAAATCGAGACGGTCGTTTGCTTCATACGGTATTTGTTCTCTATCGCTTTTGATCACTTTGTTTTTCAGGTTTATGTAGCATTTTTATGCTCATTTCGCAGAAAGCTCGGCATGTTTGCTAATTAATTAAGGATGATGAATTATTGCCAAATTTATAGTTGGAGCTTGTGGAGTTTTTTTGTACTGTTAATAAGATATATATGTTAATAATCTGAGAGATTATTGATGATTTTCGAGAGAGATATTTCTAGTAAATTTAGTTCAAAGATGCTGTTGCTGTCAAATATTTGGAGCTTGTGGAATGTTGTTGTTTAACTAGTCTAACTGATAATAAGCTACATCTGTCAGTAAGCTGAGTCATCATTGATGACTTACGAGAGATATATATCTAGTTAATTTGGTTTTTGCTATTTTTTTTCTTTTCCAGGTGTAAAAGCTCAGGTTGCCACTTTTGAACAAGCTAGCTCTGAAGCGGCCCAAAAAGTGGAAGCTCCCGTAGCCATAGTTACTGGAGCTTCTAGAGGCATCGGTAAAGCAGTTGCATTGACTCTAGGTAAAGCAGGTTGCAAGGTTAGCGAGTTTTCCTTTTCAGGATCCTACTTTCATTTTTACCTTAATTTGATGTAAAGCTTACGAGAATGGAACTTGTGGCAGCTGAAGTCTTGACCAAAACTACAAATTGGAAGATAACTTCATCGAATGATGTTTAAAATTTATAAATAGTATTAGTTATAATAAAAAATTATTTGCATTAGGTTTGCATGTAGTTCTATCTCTAGAATATGAAACTGGTTATCAAGTAGGTTAAGAACAACTGTTAAACAGCTAAAGAAATATTTTCTACGTTGTATGCACTATTATTTGTTTTGAATATGATAATTGTTGATGCCTTTGTGTTATTACAGGTCCTTGTGAATTATGCCAGATCATCGAAAGAGGCTGAGGAAGTTTCGAAAGAGGTAAACAATATGCCCTGGAAGAAATGTATATCAAAACTTGAGTGGGAATTTTACTTTTTTTTTTCAGCTCGAGGGATTTTGTCAACTAATGCATAAGAATTCATATGAGTAATCTGGTGTTATGTTTGCTTGCCTTGAATAGGGTCTTTTTAGTTTTATTTGCAGATGAGAGTTTGTAGGGTGTATGAAATCTAATTCTAGGATTTGTTATATGCTCGTTTTTGCATCTGGCTGCATCATCTAAAGGGAACAATAATTGCAAATATGACCCTTTTTCCAGATATAGTAATTGTTGGATGCTTTTGTTCCTTTTGTCACCTATAGTCTTTACTTAAGTCTTGCTTTAAAATCTTTCAGTAAAGTGCCTTTATGTTTTTCTATTTTTTGGTTATTTGTTATGATCTTTAGACAGTTATTAGACCATACTGCATGGTTGAAATGATTAATATTAATAGTTTGTTGGACTTTTTGGTAGATTGAGTCATATGGTGGTCAGGCTATTTCTTTTGGTGGAGATGTTTCAAAAGAAGCTGATGTAGAGGCAATGATGAAAACTGTGAGTGAGCTCCCTTTCCATGTTTTGTAATTTAATAGTAGATGCATTTTCCATGACTTTATATGTGCAGGCTGTTGATACATGGGGAACTGTTGATATATTGATAAACAATGCAGGTTATTGAAAACCCTTTCTTTTTGCATCAGTTACTCAATTGTTGATTTCGACCTAGCTCCTTAAGTTGGTGATCATTGTTTCAGGAATTACTCGGGATACTTTGTTGATGAGAATGAAGAAATCACAATGGCAGGAGGTTATTGATCTGAATCTTACAGGAGTGTTTCTTTGTACACAGGTTTGAATGCTGAACATCTAAATAAGCATCTCCGGTGGATGCTTGAGTTGTTTATTAGAACTTAGTTACTTTTTCTCTTTTCAGGCAGCAGCAAAAATCATGATGAAGAAGAAAAAGGTAATTGGATACTTCTCATTTGAAGGTCACTGGTAGTATGGTTGCTTTACCAATTTGTTTGCTATGGAGCTCCGTGCATCCAAGTCAACTGATATCTACAGCCCATAACTTGAGCCGAAGTATTCTAACATGTCATAGCTTTAGGATGCATCTTTCTTATGTATACTTGCTCTTTTGTAGTGCCAGGAAATACAAGAAATATTTTTTAAGCTAGATTCAAGATTGTTGTTTTAGAATATGTGTCGTGTCTGAATATATGTTCTAATTTCAGGGAAAGATAATTAACATAGCATCAGTTGTTGGTCTGGTTGGCAACATCGGGCAAGCCAACTATAGTGCTGCTAAAGCAGGAGTTATTGGTTTGACAAAGACTGTTGCAAGGGAATATGCCAGCAGAAACATTAATGTAAGTTTTCCACAGTTACTCCACTTTCAGTACTTGATAAGAAAGATCCAGGGTTATGTGCTTTGGAGTTCTGTTCCACACTTTTCAAGGTGTAATAAACTCCAATTCTTCTCTTGTCGAATTCTACCTTTATCTTAAGAGGAAAAAGGATCAGAATATGCAACTTAAAGATGAAAACTGAACAATTAGAGCACTGCCCCGATACGAGGCTGAGGGAGTAAGATTTATGCTGCTAATGCTGTTGGGATATGCTTTCTCTGATAACGTAACATGAAAAAAATTGTTCCAGGTCAATGCTGTTGCCCCAGGATTTATTGCATCTGATATGACAGCTAAACTTGGAGATGACATTGAAAAAAAAATCTTGCAAACAATTCCCTTAGGTAAGAAAACTTTTCTTGTAGTACTCGGGTCCCCACTTGTATCTGAACACAAACATGGGGATATGATCCTCTATGGACTCTAAATACATAAAAATATTTAAAAAGATTTAATGCATCTGTGTTTGGGACTCACACTCAAGTTCAAGTAGCTTAGGATGGTTACTTCAAATCTAATCTAGTTACTTCCATCTTTGTGAACTTTTCTTGTTTGTGTTTTTTAAATTGTTAGCTTTAGCCCTTACAAAGTCACCAAATATTTGCTAGCTTTTGGTTGAAACCTGATAGTTCTTATTGCTTCTAATCTTACAATGTACCAAATATGATGCATATTTGTTTATTTTGACTCTAGTCATACAACATTCTTCATTGCCTCTATTAATATGAAACTTGTATTATAGTTTCCACTGATTCAAATTGGATGTTTTGAGTAGTAATGCTTATTAACATATGCGCAGCAGTGGTTAACTATATTTGTTATAGATACAGGAAGGTATGGCCAACCCGAAGAAGTTTCCGGACTGGTGGAATTTTTGGCTTTAAACCCTGCTTCTAATTATATCACAGGACAGGTAAGAAATCTATTTCGTCAACTATCATCTTTCCTTATATAAAATTTTACGTGGTCTTGACGAGCTTGTGCTATGCCACACCTCCCATGTTTCCATGATCCTGTTGGCTGGCTATAAACGATGCCTGAAGATTAACTAGGCTGAATGCTAAGGTGGATTGCATCAGCACTTAAACTAGTTTAACCTTGGGGCTTGGCCATGCATGTAGCGATATAACCAACCTAGTATAATGAATCTTTATTGGTTGTTTCTTTGTTTGGTGTTGCATAAATATATGTATGTATATGCTGCATTGCTAAATTTTGATGTTTGTACGGTCTGGCTTTAATGATTTCTTTGTCTCTCACTTGATTGTGAGCTATAAGATAGGCCAAGTTTATTGAACATTTTTCTACTTGCATTCTTTTCTTCCCCTTGGAATTTTTTGTTGCTTTGAATCTTCATTTTTTTAAAGTACCCGTGTTTGAAACCGTATTCAACACGTTCCTGGGAATGGTTTGGAGATATTGACATACACGTCTTTGTCTGACATTTGTATCCAAATCCAAATAACTTGGTTGGGATTTGGTTGCATTTCCTTGAATTTTTTAGTTAATGAGCTTTTCACAATGGGGATTGAAACACTAGTACAAAGACATTGCTTGGCCTTGTTCTGACAGTGCCTCGGATCCCATTAGTGTTATTGTTTATATCTCCCTTTTCTCGACTTATAGTTATAGCTGATAGCCTAGGGATGTTGTTCTGCAGGTGTTCACCATTGATGGAGGAATGGTCATGTAAAATTGCGGTACCTTCACTCGACAAGCTTTCGTTGGTTAGTTCTGTTACCCTATCGGGACTCGAAGTTAATATAAGCCTGTTTAGTGTTTGACTTTTTGCTTTGATTTGAACACAATATGAAACATTTAAAACCAAACGAAAAGATATGCAACAACTTTGTAGGATTGCATTGGGTTTTCGAGCAGTCTGTCCGCTTCATCCATTAAGTTTTTAACATTTCAATCCGGTAACTTGTGTCGATTTGCCCACATATTTCTGTTTATTTCTTTTCATTTATCTATGAATGACTAAAACTTTATCCGCTGATTTCGTATTGATTCCTTAATCTCTTAACTGAATTTTTTTAGGTGGTTAAAAGTCTTTTTTGGTAGGTAGATGCATAATGTTTCATTCCTTCAAAGTTAAAAGCGCCAACGTTCGTCACCCAATCATCGTTTTGGCATAAGGTTTGGTTTATAGATTTTTATTTTAAAAAATCTAAATTTCTTATTTTAAAAAAAAATCTTAATTTCTCACAAAACCCCTAAAATCAATATTTTTCTCAAGAAACCCTGAACTCTAGTCCCCATAGCCATCGTTTCCTCACCTTACTCAAAAGTCAATGGTGTCATCGAATTCCCGACCGATCACCCTCACCACCATTCCATGCCCCCCCAAAATCCCCCTCTTGATCGGATGCCAAACTCGTAAAATTCCTACTGTTGTTTTCCTTGCGAACCACAACACCATCAGATGTGTGCGTTCATAGCAGCACTCAAACTCCTCGTCGGTATCCCATGCTTCCCGGTGCCTTATAAAACCCTGTCACATTGTTCTCTGTCAATGCCAATGTATTTCCAGTATCACCCGAGCCTCCATCTGTCTCTCTCAACGTACCACCCCCTATAAACAATAATCGATCACCACTGCAGTTTCTTGAAGGGGATCGATGATGGTAGGTGTAATTTATAAATTTAGAATTCAAAATCTAAGGGTCATGGATTTAGGGATTTTTTTTATGAATTTAGAAATTTTAGGTGTTTATAAAATCAAAGATGTTGAAGTTTTTCTTAAAAAATATATAAAAATCAAGTCATGTACATTCATTGGATGAATTTTTTTACCAGATGTTAATAGTCCGACTTTAAAATAATAATGAAATTAAATATTAAACATCTATGACAAAGAAACTTTAGATATTTAATATATATATATATATATTGAAAAAAATCAAAACCATGTAAGAACCCAAACTAATGTTAATTTTCCAAAATCAAAACCAGATTTGATTTTTCAAAAGAATTTATTCATACTTTTTACCAATCCCCTCTCATCAACTTTTTTACCTCAAAACAAAAAATATCTAAAACAATCTATCCTCATTTGAGCTAAAAAATACATGTCAGAATGCAATTCATATTAGTTACTGTCGATGATTGCATCATGCATGAAACATAAATTAACAAAAAAATTAATAACGATAACGGATAAAATATACATCTAATTTATCTATTTTTTTCTATCTAGTTCTGCATTCTTTTGGTCTTAATTAACAAAAAGACGTACCCGAATCACCATATCATATTTGCATCTTTTCCTTGAAGCATTTGCTTTCGCCATTTCTCAAATCATCTTCCTCGGAGGCATGTCGTCTTCATTTTTAAGACAATTCAAGAGACTCGTACGTTAATAACTGAAGCATTCATCTTATCAGGACTCCCTTGATATTTGAGCTTTACGAACATGCCCCCACCTTCGCCCTTAGCCAGTCTTCCCGGGCTAATACAAACATATCTTCTCATTTGTTATTCTCCTTTGTTTGTTCCCCTTACGGATAACACCTGTAACCATAAAGATGTGTGAGCATATGCCCAGTATTCGAATATGTGTCAAACACGAACATGAGTACTTAAGGGTGATACTAATAAAGAGTTAAAGCAAAATATATAGATACTGGAGCTATGTTTTTTTTTCTCTTAACTGAATTTGGAACTGAGCAATCTTTAAGTTACTAGGATTCCGGTTGTATTCAATATGGGTATGTTAAACCATCTTTCGAAGTTTTTCTATATAGACAATCGTTAAAGATCATATCCGCATCTCTATAACCAATATGTCAGACATCCATATCGGATGCAGATATTTCAAGAGAAATAAAGGGTAGGAGCAACAACATCGGATGATTTGGGATCGTCACTAACCTTGACAAAATACTTGATGTCTGAAGGTAAGATAAGAAGATCTGGAACAGGAGAAATATGAAGAGCTTCAGGAGCAAGGGAAAAATCCATTGGGACACGTTCAGCTGGTGGATAGAGCGGATAAAAGCTGTCTCCTAACATCAATCAATCAACATATCATATTACTGAACCAACTAAGAAACTATAAACTGAAATGAGTTTCAACAAAGATGATAACTGCTGAAAGATACCTACGTTGGCTAAGAATATGGCTGGTAAGTCTACTCAAGCGATCATTAGGTTTTCCGTCCAGTGGATGTCTTGACATCTCCTCCCCACTAAGATGTTTGAGAATATCTATCGTGCAGCAACCAATCGTGACCTGAAAATGGAATTTCATGTTTCTGGGGTCTGGGGTTAGGCATGTCAGATACCGAGTGTCTTCGAGGAATGTATGTTTAATGTCTTTCCCAAAATTCTCAGATACACTTACAAGGCACTGGGGAATTATATCCTCATACAATGTTTGAATATGACTAGAACACTGGTGTTAGTGTCTAACACAAACAAGTTTTTGCAAGTGTTTCGTGTCTTTGGAGAGTACTTGGAAGATTATATTATCATATCATGTATAGTTATGCATTGAACACGAGTATTGGTCTTAAATACTCGAAGAAAATGAAAAATCAAAAACCAAGGAATATACTTTTAAATGCTCTATCACTCCAGGTTAAACAATTTTAACTTGGCAACTAGTTTAAAAGTTATAGCTCATACATGCTCAAGAGTTATGCTCCATTAAGATATCTTAATTTGACTCTTCAACTTTCTTGAAGTATCCGTGTCGAGCACTAATGTCCTAAACATATACAGACATGGTGATCCTCCGTAATTAAAGGTTCAAAAGAAAAAATTAAGTATATCAGTTTTGGATGCATACTTGTATCCAACACTGGCCTCCAGCTCCAAGTAACATTAGCTATAAAGCAAAAGATCGACTGAAAGGTAGATAAAGTAACATTAGCTATAAGCAAGAGAACTACAATTCATTTTCTGACAAAAGAAGAAGAAAAAAAACACCTGAGGGGAAACAAAAACATGATTAGCATCTCGTATAGATGGAATCATACCAACCGAGCAGTGGGTCCCATGTATTCCAAATAATCTTGAACCTGAAAATACCAGTAAGAAAAACAGATGATTAAAGACGCATAAGTTACATTACTCAGATTCGGGTGTCATAAGGAAGCATAATTTAATGCTACTCGGATTTGAGTGTCATATTTCTGTACCCATATCCGAATACACGCCAAATAAAGATACTTCAACAAAAAGGAAAGGTAAGAGCAGCATAAAACATCAGTAGCGACTTTCGCTTTATATATATACCATTCTATGAACCTGAGATTGGAATATATCATCAAAACTCAAGTCAACAACAGTTCCTTTCTTGATTTGTGGATGTTCAGAATCGATAAAAGGTCCTAACTGAAAATTATCAAGAAGCCCCCTGGTCAGTAATAACAGTTAAATTCTACAAAAAGAACTGGGGGAAAAGTGCAGTGGGTTCACACCAGTATAAGCAACTGTGGAAAGTTCTTTTTGTATAGGCAAGCAGTTCTGAAAGAGGCTCAAATGATAAGTTGTCTGTAGTAGTGAATGGACCAGCAGCGATAATCTGTTTAAACATTCATCGCATTTAAAGAATCAGTTAAAAACACGAAAATCAGAAAGTTAAGAGAAGTGAAACCATCCTAGGTTACTCAGACTCGGGGTACGAGTATCATGTACAGGTATGCATCTGGCAGAGTATCTTCAATTTATGACTAAGTTTTTCTAAGGATCATATCCCATACTCAGATCTAAAAATGTGTCAGCTATAGGTGTCAGATACAGTACTTTAAGAAAAATGAAAAGTCAGAACAACATAAGAATTTTCATGCCATGGCTGCAAGAGTCCAGAAATTACAACTCCAAGACAGTTATCTGATATAGAAGATTATCCTACACACCATTTATATCTCTGTTGGTGCGGAGGAAAGATCTTTCGCCTGAATCTCCTCATCTAAAGCTTGCTTCTTTGCAGGAGGCAGATCCATATCAGCAGCAACGGATAAAGGAATATAATATACTAGCTTAGATGCAATCAAACAATGGCCACTAGGGTTGTGACCCTTGACACCTACAACCTACATAAAAGAAATATCCCCAAGCTGATATGGGATTTTTTTCAACAAACCAAACAAGATCAATAATCTTTTATAACATTTGTTACCTGGCCTGGAAAAAAAAAGTGGCTCAGTTTATTTAACTCTAGTCGAACACGTCCTCCAGAATGCACAACACTGTAAAAACGATATGAGACACCCAAAAAGCAAAGTTAGAACAGCAAATCTGAATACTATTTTCCTAATGTGAATAGTGTCGAGCATAGTCCAGACCTTCATTTACTAGGTGAGGCTCTTAAATAATAAACTAAGGCATGCCGGAAGTCCAGATTTAGGCTGAATAGAAGTATTACATCAAGCAAATTGGTTTCACACTATGTTAAGATAGCTCTATTCAGTATTTAATTACAATGGCACACATGTTAATGTGTCTGATTGTTCATTTCTTATGAAGCTGACTTGTCAATGATAAAATCCTCTGTTATTTTTTACAACAGTTAGACCAGTTAACACATAAAGAAAGCTTATTTGGTTCCCTCTTAATTGGCTGAAGTACGCGAATACAATAAATAGAAAGCCCACGATATTTTACCTGCTTTGCAACAAGATGGATTTATCATTTAGATGACCCTCGACATCACAGCAGATCATCCCAACGGAAAACATGCTCCTCTGAAGCAATAAATTCTTTTAGATGCATGGACAATTAAAGTCTCCAAGAGATTAGGACTGGTGAAACAGCAAACTATCTCTGAAGCAAGTGATGGATCCATTGGAACTTCGTGGGGACTAGATGCAACAAATGCAACTGCATACTTTTTTATCCTTTTTTCAATTGCATTGAACTGAACCAATGATAAGCCATCATAGTAACATACATTGCTGATAAAAGAAACAAA